CCCCCCCCCCCCCCCACCACCATGCCGCCCTCTAAGACGCGCCGGGCCCGCCCCTTCCCTGCTCCGCCTGCGCCCGGTCGCGCTCCCTCTGTCCGCTTGTTCCCTCCCCGGACTGCGGGCGCACCGGAGCGCAATGGAGGGACCGGACAGCCCTGGGGGCCCTGCCGGGGACCCCGACGCACGCTCCAGCTGCCAGCCAGGAGCCAGGAATAGGGATCAGGGCGCCCCCGGTCCCCAGGCGCCCCCCTCGGTTCTGGGGCGGGCAGGGCCCGGGATCCGCGTCGGGGACGCTCCAGGTCCCTTCCACGCGGGGTCAGCGGTGCGTCCCGGCCTCCCCGGCGCCATGCGCTACAAGTCCGTGTTGTAACTACTGGGTCTCATCATCTCCCTGTCGCGCCTGGGGTGCTTTTAATCCCACATGCTGCCTTTTGAAATGTAAGTTGCCCCGGCTGCCTAGACCCTCTCCCTCCTGCGGGGTCGCTTGTGGGACGCCTGGCGCACCCGGGCCCACTTGGCACCCTGAAAGGCTGGAAGGCGAGGCCCTGAACGCAAGTCCTTTAGAAAGAACCTCACAGAAGTGGCCTCATTACCAAGGGGTCGGCAGGACGGGCCTGGGTTAATTCACCGGAAGAAACCTCACTCGGGCACACCCTAACTTTCACAACCAGACCCCAGCGAGTTCAAGTGTTCTGGGGGTGGGTGTTACAAAGCAAGGCATCGGGAGGAAAGGAACCCAGCACCCGGGTACAGGCCCTTGGGGTGAATCCTAATTTGGTGGAGATGCTCGAGCCCCCCCCCCAGCAGCGTGCTTTGAAATGTCACTCCCCTAACCTTCCCAGTCCCAACCCCTAATTTCCCCCTTTTGTTTCTGTCTCCAGGGACTCTTGGTGGGTTCTACTCAGTCTCAGTTTGCTTCTGAGGACTTCGGGGTTCCAAGCAGCAAATGCCTCTAAACCCAATATTCTACTGATAATGGCAGATGATCTTGGCATTGGGGATCTTGGTTGCTATGGAAACAATACCCTGAGGTACCCAGTCCAGCTGTTGTGTTTGCCTGTGTGGTGGGGGGTGTATTTGGCCAAATGATGCATTTAACATCTGCCTATAGTGGTGATTCCTTAGAGCATCAGATCTGAACACTGAAAAATTGCTTTTACATAGGGAAGCAGGATCCCAAACTTTTCAAACAACACAGCACTCGGGTGAGTGGGTGTATTCCTACCCTAGGGCTGCCTCCTTCCTAAAGGAGGAATCTTAGGCAACAGGACTGTATTCTCTCTCCATCCGGGAGACCAGGACTGCTGAGATCCAGGCAGGACAGGGCTGTGGAGACCCAGGCAAGGCAGGACCGCTGAGATCCAGGCAGGGCAGGGCTGCTGAGATCCAGGAGGGGCAGGACTACTGAGATCTCAGGCAGGGCAGGGCCACTAAGATCCTTGGGGGAGGGGCAGGGCTGCTGAGATCCAGGCAGGGCAGGTCCACTGAGATCCAGGAGGGGTAGGGCCACTGAGATCCAGAAGGGGTAGGACCACTGAAATCCAGGCAGGGCAGGAACCCTGAGATCCAGGCAAGGCAGGGCCACTGAGATCCAGGCAGGGCAAGACCATAGATATCCGGGAGGGGCAGGACCACTGAGATTCAGGGGGGCAGGATCACACTCTCTCTTGAGGCTGCAGGGGAGGGTCCTTCCTGCCTCTTCCAGCTTCTGGCGCTCCAGGCATCCCTGGGCTCGTGGCTGCCTCCCTCCCGTCTCTGCCTCCACCTTCACGCGGCTTCTCTGTGTCTGTGTCTCTCTTCTGACTCTTACAAGGACACCTGTCATTGGATTCAGGGCCCACCCTCATCCAGGATGAGCTCATCTCAGATCCTTAACTAGTTACATCTCTCAAGTCCCCACTCCGGGGTAAGTTCCTATTCACAAATAAATACTGGGGATTAGGACTGGGCCGATCTGCCCCGGGGCTGTGGTTCATCCACCGCAGGGAGCTTAGTGCGTATTCAGGGTGTGCGTGCTCCCAGGGGCACGTTTGCCTGCTTGGCTCCGTGCAGAAGGACAAAAGGGAAGAAAGCATCTCACTCCTTCTGTGAGCATTTCCTTTAGGATGACCGCCCCCCCGCAGATTCACACACGTCCGCCTTGCAGTAGGTGCCCACCTTAGGGCTGACCTACACAGACCGGGGCCACCCTCTTTCCCAGCGGCCTGTCCACACCAGGAGAAACCCTTGTGTCCATCTGCTTCTTTCCCACGCGGAGCCTGCGCAGGGCGGACGATTCAGCCACCGAACGTGGACAATTCATTGTCTTCTGGATCTTCAGAGATGGGCATCCATCGACACAAACCAGTTTAGGACAATTTTATGCCCCCAGGGAACCCTTTGCTTTCTCTTAACCATCGCCCCCCCCTCCTGTGATGGACTGAATCATGGCCCCCGGAATTCATGCGATGCATCCCTAACCCCTCGGGACCTTCTGTAGCCTTCGGGTTTGGGGCTCAGAAAACCGCCATGAAGAAATTGGTCGGTTCAGTCCGTTAAGCATCCGACTCTTGATTGTGGCTCAGGTGGTCATCTCACAGTTGGTGAGTTCGAGTCTTGCGTTGGACTCCTCCATTGCTTACGCACTCTCTCTCTCTCAAAATGAATAAACTTAAAAATATATTTAAAAAAAAAGAAAGTAATTAACAAAAGTACCCAGACCCTGGGATTGCCTGGCCATTCCCACCCCTAGGAGCAGCACCTTTGATTTTTAGCCCACAAAGATGTTCTCTTGCAGACGTGGGGGCCGTGCCCCTCCAGGTCTGTCTGTACGAAATGTGGGCTCGAACTCACGGACTGTGAGATCATGACCTGAGCTGAAATCAAGAGTTGGGCGCTGAACCGATGGAGCCATCCCGGCGCCCCTAGAAGACTTAACTTTTGTGTAAGAACCACACGATTTAGAGAAACTGTCATTGGGTTCATGGCGACGTGGTTCCATTCCTTCACTTCATCGTTCAGTGATTTGCGACGAAATCCCTCCAACCCATCTGGCACATAGGCCATTCTCCCTCCGGTAGTAAATCAGCCCCATATCATTCTTTCCAGCCGCCTCGGCGTTCGGTGCGTATGTCTAAATACACTAGAAGATGCTCGCGTTCTAAATCAGGGGTCAGCTACACAGTACTCTGGTACCTTGTGTGGGCCACACCGGATCTGTGTTTCACACCCTCCCTTCTTCCCTTTTCATTTTTTCTAACTCGTGACACATCTTAAAAAGTTCTTAGCTCCACGGGGACCCCTAAGAACAGAGCTAGGGCCAGATTTGGCCATAGTGTGCTGACCTTTGTTCCAAACCATGAAACCCCGAAGTATCTCTGATGGACGGAGCAGACCTTGAGGACCCCATAGAGAGGTGCGTCCAGACTCACTTCTGCTTGTTTGAAACACAAGGGACCGGTTCTCCCTCGCTGCGTACAGGACACTCAGTGGTGGCAACGCAATATCCCAGATGCTTGGCCTCGTGAGAAAGGGACGTTGAGAACCCACGAGGTGTGTAATGAGTGTGTAGGCACTGAGGGAGTACAGGAGGTCAGGACAGAAGAGGGAGTCCCAGGACTGGCTCTGTGACCCCAACCCGGCTTTGGAATGCCTAGTTAAAAGAAAAAGGATGTATAAAAAATGAAAGGCATTTGAGAATAATACTGTAAGACTATATTTGGCAATCAACATATATATATATATATATATTTGGCAATATATATGTGTGTGTGTGTGTGTGTATACACACACACACACACATATAAGCATTTTTCCTGTTTTAAGGTTATCTTTTAACAAGTGAAGGAATGAGATTCTGCAGGAGAAGATTTCCTTGCTGAGGTTGAAACCTGTAGTGTTTCACATTCTGTTCCACAACATAAAGACGTGTGTAAGAGATAAATACTTGATAGAAAAGAGATAGACAAATGATTGATGGATGGAAGGAAGGTTGGATGGACGGATGGATGGATGGATGGATGGACGGACTGAATGGCTGGCTGGCTGGATGTGATAGATGGATGGATGGATGGATGGATGGATGGATGGAAAATTGGTGGATGGTTGGATGGAGAGACTGAATAGCTGGCTGGCTGGCTGGATGTGATGGATGGATGGATGGATGGATGGATGGATGGACGGACTGAATGGCTGGCTGGCTGGATGTGATAGACGGATGGATGGATGGATGGATGGACAGATGGATGGCTGGATGGATGGAGGGATGGATGGGTGGGTGGATACATGGATGGATGGATGGAAGGAAAGGTGGATGGAGGGAGGGAGAGATGCTATGGGATTCTGGAGTGATGGTGGGGTCCGGAGCCAATGGCTAACAAAGAATTCTTGAGACATCTTTGGTGCAAAAATGTGATTTTATTAAAGCACAGGACAGGACCCACAGAAAGAGCTGTACTGGGGTTGTGAAGAGTGACTGGTTATATACTATGGAGTTGGGGGAGGTAAAAGCAGAAGGGAGGCCTCCAGAAGGACTTTGATATGCTAAAGAGGACTCCTAAGATAGCTGAGACCTTGCTATTGTCAAGTTAAGGTGGTTTTTCCTCTAGTAAGGCGTTAACATTAGGAGGTAGCGGTTTCCTGGAGAAATGTTCTACTCTGTACTTACCTCAAGTATCTGTCAATGGGCTGTAGGTTATAAGGAAATTTCATTATATCTACCATTTCCTTCTTGCCTTCGTTCCCTACATCGTGATGGAGGGGAGGGTGATATTGGGGCTCCAGGAAACAGTCTATAGGGTTCTGGAGATGAGGCTATTGATAGGGTTGCCTTTTTCTTGTAATGTACTAAGACATTTTTAAACTGATCAAGACTCCTGTCTTGCATGACTGTGATCTCGATCAGTTAACCATTTGTTTTCTTTCCTTTACTTTGTTTTTGAGCATCAAGGGGTGCCTGAGGAATGTCACACATGTCCCACCCGGGCAGGGAGCTGTGTGCCGAGTCTCAGAGTCTCAGTTCGCCTTATGCTTCCTCATCAGGTGGATAGAAGGATGGATGGATGGATGGATGGATGGAAAGATAGATGAAGGATGGATAGATAAATGATACATAAATTTGTAGATAATAGATACATAGTTGGACTTTGGGATATCAAACTGGAGAGAACTTTTTGTCAACTGTGAAAAATAGGTCATCGCTAACAAAATTATATTTAATTGGTAGAATCCTATAAGCCCCTTGCAAATCATGTTCATAGCTGAGCCAAAAAAAAAAAAGAAAAGAAAAGTAAATTTCTACAATTGGGTTATTGAAAACAACCAGCATGAGTACAGAATGGGTGCTTTTTAACAACAACAGTTATATCTCAGTTGGTTGCAATTAAAATATGAGTCAAAGCAGCCAGAACTATCTTGAATGACATTGACACAGCTGTTCTTTGGAAACAGAGGCTGGGCAGGGCCCCAGCAGTTGCCCTGAGGAGCAGGTGTCTGAGCTTCCCCTTTGGTTTCTGGGCAGGCAGGGAGGGCCTGGAAGTCACAGCTGATGGAGCTCAGGTATCAGCTTACACACAAGAGGGTGAGGGGCACTCCCTGCCTTCAAACAGGAACAAAGCGATCAGGAAAAAGGCTGCCACGGTCACAAAGTGGATGGGTGATTGTAAACTGTCGCGACCGGTGCGACAAACACCGAGGTCAGGGTCCTGAGGGTAGGGGAATGCAAGAAAAAAAGAGAGAAGAGAAAGTTTGGGAACAGGAGGGTCCCCTGGGCTGATGGCCCAAGTGACGGCTTTATTGTTGCTGTACACAATCTTTTATATCCAGACTCTTATGGGTCAGGCCGTTCTAAGAATAAACAGGTTTCACATAATCGCTGCCAACCAAAACATTTAGTTCTGTGTTTCTTGTGCATTTTCTAGACGGGTCACAAGACCTTGTTAAGATTGCTAGCAAAACACAATTCCCATGTTTGTTTCTATCTGACTTGGGATAGAAAAAGGGAGGTAACATTACTGCCAACACCTGCAGACCACAGGCTCCAGGAATTAACTCTCTCAGCCTTGACAAGGCTTTCGTATGCCCTTGAAAGTGGGGGAGTGGAAGGGGGAACCACCGGGTTGGCTTGAGTCAACGGGGAACGTTGCTCGACCCGGTCTCAGCCTGGCGCCGGGGCCCGGCCTCCCACAGTAAACAATCAGAAAATCCATGACTCATACCAGATGTGACCCCCGATATCTAAGATGCTTGAGTCACAATGCCCAGTACGGCACACTCTGGATTTTTTTTTTTT